TGGGCCACAGAAACTTGTTCCGGAGTGGTCAGTGGACTGAGTTCTGTTCCGTAGGAGGAGGGGAAACCCTCTCAGGGAAGGTGAGTGGAGGGGCCGATGAATACTGGGCTGCCTGCCTAGGATGAAGGTGTTCGTGTGGATGACAGAATTAAAAAAATAAAAATAATAATAATGACCAGAGCACTTGCTGATACCGCTGAGCAGCCTTCCCCGCTCAGGCAGTGGGTTACCTGCGCGTCCCCTCGCTTCAGCTGCCGTAGTGGGCGTTGCTGTTGTCTGCCAGGGAGACTCTTATTCCATAAAAAAGGAGTCTAAAGCCAGAATCAGGTGACCGCAGACTTCCCTGGAAGCACTCTGAGCCAGAGCCATCCCTTGGCCTCTAGTTCAGGCCACGGCGCGCGGTAGGGAACAAGCCGCACTGAGACAGACGGGAGGCTCATCCAATGCTGTCTCGCCTGGCGGGGCCCGGGAGAGTCTCCTTTTGATGCTCTTGTGACCTGAACCCCTGACTTTCCTTTTAACCAACAGAGCAAGTTTCATGCTCACAGACCTCAGCGAGCAGCTAGTGTTTTTTCTTTCTTGGATTTATTTTTATGAAGGCTTTCCTTAAATGGCAAATTATGTTGGTTGTATTGATTTTTTTTTCAGAGATAACTTTTTTTTTTTTTTTTAAAAAGGGGAGTTGAAATATACCAACTACACAGATTCTTAGGCAGATGTGGCAAAAATGAAGGCGACAGGTGAGCGAGCATGCTCAGAGAACGATGTCAGGGAAAGCATGTGTAGGTTTAGAGACAGGCTCATGTGTCTGCATTGACAGCACAGCCAGCCTTTCTTAGGAAGCTCGTTTTTGGTAAAGACCAGGGCTGCACGTGTGGTTGGGGATTCTAGGGACCACGGGCTCAGCCTGGGTACAGGTTACTTCTCTGAACCTCCGTGTTCTGAAATGGTGCTAATGCTCCTGTTACAGGGCTCTTATTTGGGGCTGGAGCAGGACTGTCGGGAGGACTCAAACTGCCTTAGGATCTAGTGTTCCACAGCGAGTCTCAGGAATGCTTTTCAGTATGTTCATTCGCAAGGACCTGCTGAGTACATGCATACTGAGATGTGCGCTGAGCTCCAGGCATTTGGGAACAACGCCCTACTCCTCTGGCCTGGATGTCCCCTCTTTGGAGGACAGGGTTCTGAGTTTGAGCCCCTTGGTTCCCTCCTCCCAGAGATGCCCATATAGCTGTGCTGGCAGATGCAGCCACCAGCAAGCTATGCAAGTCTCCAACGCAGGGTCGGTTCAATTCCTACACTCCCAGATGGCAGCCAACACAGACTTCCCATCAAGCACATTGGAAAAGCCTATCAGTTTCAAAAAGGAGGACAATTTGATTAACAGGCTATCCATTTTGCTTCATTTAGAATTAAGACATTCATAAAGGTACAGGAAGATTGCAAAAACCAGTAGAGGTTAAAATGGCTGTACATCTAAGACCTGCTGGTGTACCGGGAGTGGGGGGAGGGTTGGTGTGTACCACAGATGTACATTGTATTCTGAAACACACATACCTGCAACCTCAATTAAATAGGGCCGAGGATTCTGCACCTCTCCTGGCAATGACAGCGGACTCCCTTCCTGTCTAGTTGGAGCACTTTGAAATCATGGCTTTTAGGCAGTTTCCCCTTTACAGGATTAAGTTTGAACACAGCCCCCTCCAGACTTGAGTTAGTGAATGTTAAAGTAGACGGGAAGTAGCAGGATGCAGAGAATTACCAAATGGAGACCCTCATTTGGTACAAGTTTGAGTCTACTTTTAAGCTAACCTTCCAGTAGTAGCTGGCAGAAAAGGCCTAGCTTTTCTTTTCTAGTTTGACGGCCAGTTTATCTCAGCTGAAAACCCACTTTTCTAGAACACCTTATGGCGGCCAACTTATAATTGATGGTTGCAACACCGTTTCAGAATGGTGGGCGTGGCCTCTCCTTTTATTTCCTTTGGGGGTTCCAGATGTTTTCTTGGGACACTCTAGTTAAACATGCCTGCGGTTGGAGCCAACCCCATGAGCAAACAGGGTGGTTAGAAACGAGGGGTCACAATGGGTAGAAGAGACCATTGCTGGAGGGCGCCTGCTGCTCTGTGAAACCCAGTACGTAGACTTCACTCACGCTAAGTGGTTCTCACGCTTTAGAGGCAACCACCTAGAGGCGATTTGGGGGCCCCACCTGGAAGGTTTGGGGCTGGTGGCCTACAGTGGAGAAGCACCCCTCTATGTGGCAGTCCTCATTGGCAAAAGCCGCTTCAGTGGCTTCCAGTGAAATGTTTCACTGATGGCTCTCAGAACTGGCACCCATTTGTTCTTAAAAAGTGTGCAGTTTTACCAATGGCCAGGCATTTGGACCAGACACACAACTACAGGGCAATAAAAAGCACAGCTTGGATCTCAAGAGGGAACAGAGCTGTGCGAGACCCTGGAACTGCTCAGGGAACCAAAGATGGGACAACGATAATGCTTCCAAGGGCTGAAAAGCGAACCGCCGTGCTAGTCAGCTGGACTCCAGAAGCTTGAAGGGCAAATGTTCTCTGGAATCGTATTCTTCCTTGTTACAAAGAAAATTTAAAAAATTGTTCAACTTCCAGTTGTATTCTCTAAGGAGCAGGTGGCCACAGCTTTATTTCCAGATTATTCCAAAAGTAAATAGTAAGCAACAACATTCTTTTAAAATGGCTTTTATTGAGACACTTCCAGGGCTCCTGCAACATCGTTAGTTGGTCCCCTTCTTAGTTGGCTAAACTTTTCTGAATGTCAACCAAGTCCACACCCACCACCTCAGCAAGAAAGCACTCATCGGTCTCTACGCAAACACCCAACCAGGAACCTCCACCCTGGCTACCTTGCACAAGTCTCTCATTAGTCCTCCATGGAGGATTAATAAGCCCAGGCCAAACTCTTCCCACCTGTTCATTAGGCAGAGTAATTTCAAAACAAAGTGAGATGTCTTAAGTTCAGCCGGTATTACTATCCTCAAGTAATACACCTTCTTAATGCCATTTCTCCCCACCTCCATGTTATTTGGGGATATCCTGTCCTAAATATTAGCTGGCATCCACAGAACTTATAACCCGTGTAACAGAATTGTATCAGCCCCGTGCCACCCTCATAATAAAAACTAGTCTTATGCTTTCTCCCGTATGGAGTAGCATGACTAACATCTCAGGGGGAGGTTGGCCACATTTCTACTCAGGTAACAAAAGCATTAACGAGATGAATCCTTCCGAAAGTCTTAGAGATTATAGAAACAAGCCTCTGGCCTCTGCATGGACCACAGGATCCCATCAGCATTGTAATCGCCGGAATTGCTGGCTAATTCTGCTCCTTGAAACGTCCCTTCTTTAGTATGAGCTGATCTTGGGAATCTTTGCATAGTAAATATACCAGCTCCTTCCATCCTGAAAGCCCTCCACATGGGTGATCTCCAAGCCTTTTTCCTTATTAACAAGGTGGTTGTTATAACAAAAGAGAGTAGTTTCCTGTTTGGTACAATTGTTCCCATCATAAAATGAAACCTAACATTTACTTCATTTAGAAGAAAGAACACCAGGGCATTAAGATTCTGCTTGCAAATTAATGCCAATTTATGTTTACATCCTTTTATCATCGAGACATTTACATATATAACCAGGGTATGCTCCTTAACAAAAGGGGAACTGGAAAAAAATGTTTATTTTAGCAGTTAAAAAGGAAAAAAAAAAAAAAAAAAAAAAGAATTTAACAGGTGCCTTGAAAGCCTTCTTCACGCCAGTGGCAGATCTTGGTTTTCCACCAGTCTCCTCAGTGGCCTTGGCTCCATCTCGGATGAGAGCGAGCCATGGCATCAACTGGTACAAGACATAATGGACACACAGGACTGTAATGTGTAATAAAGCAAATATTTACATTAAGCACAATACAGCAATTTATTTAGATGCTTAAAATGAATACAAAGGGAAATAAAGATCACAAAATTATACATACTACAACAGTGTGTCATATATTAAATGGTATAAATGAATACACCAGGTGGTGTTTAACTAAAGATAAAACTAAATATCCAAAATGCAGCACTCATTGGTTTGCTGCTTCAACACAACACACTTTCATACAGATCTTAAAAGGTGTCAAAATTAGTAGCTGCAAAGTCAATTCTTGCGTGTGGTTTTAGCTTAAAAGATTTCAGAAAACAGATCTGAAATACCAGTTTTTGTTTGTCAGCTGTAATGTCAAGGATATTCAGAACAAGAAAAAATTCTATAATACAAGAGAGTCCAGATATATATCTTACGTGGCTGGCCTCTGTTGCAAGATTGTACAAGGTTATGTGCAAAAACTAAGTCTGTTCAAAATTTTATACTAGCGTAGTTTCAAGCTTTTGCTAGGTAAACTAGATACAGCGTTTGTTACACAGCAAGGGCAACACTAAAAAAGAAACATCTATGATGGGTACACAATAACAATATCATAAGCATTACCTGAATAGGTCTAAAAGACTGTACAAATATACATTTTAACTATTCAGAATGAATACATGAAAAAAAAATCAATTTTCCCCAGTCTACTGTACACATTGGATTGGTAGCTTGTATGTTGGCCCTATGCTACCATGTGAATTAGGGTAACACTTCTTAAGGACATTCAACCAAACATTTTACAGAGGGAAAGAAATGTTGAGAAGGCAGATAAAATAAACCTCTGCTTTTCCTTGTGTGCATTTCGTGAGCCACCAGCTTATTGGTTTTTCACATTTAGTTACTGTGTCTGCCACAGCAAGTTCTAAAGCAAATCAGCCAGTCATGTATCATAGAAATAACCACCGGGATTGCAGTGGCCACACGTCCTTACAGCCTGATGACCCAGCAACTCAGAGGGCAGTACCAGTTAGAATATAGTTTTGCAGTCATACTCAAAGAACAGAGTTCCAGGCTGCAACATGTCACTGATGCCAGAGAACCTGGCCCCGATGTCCGAGAACGGGTCACTTATGCCTGTTGGCTGCTCAGTTTAACTCCAGTTAAGCTGCCATGCATTGGCTCAGCTACTCCATCAGTCATGTTCTCAAACTGCTCCCCATCCTCACTGTCAATTGTGCTATTCTGCCACTCAATCTGTGGACCGGACAAGCGCTCATCATTTTCAGATGCATTCTTCCACTGTGACTGGTCCTTGGACCAAAACCCTTCAACTTTTCCATAGGAACTATTCTTCCATTTCAACTGCTCTCTGTCACCTTGCATGGTAGCCTTTTTTTTGGCAGCTGGCTTACTGCTTCTTGCATCCTCACTCTGGGAAGACTCATCGGACCAGGTACCTGGTTTCATTTCACAAGTGTTGTCCTCAAAGTCTGACACGTGCTGGGAACCAGGGCCACTCTCAGATGGAGAAGCGCCACCTTTCCACTCCACAACATCATCTTGGTCAACCTCACTATCAGAAGCATCATGCATTAGTTTGTTTGGTTCCTCAGTCAAATGAATAGTTTCATATTTTGAACCATCCACACCTTTTTGGTCTAGCTTTTCCTCAGATTCTAAAGCATCCTCAGAAATTACCTTCTGTATATGCTCCTCTGGAGTATCATTAGGGATTTTAGGCTCAACTTCAAAAACAGGGTCAAAAGGGCTACCGCTTCCATTGGATTCTTCTTCCAAATTTTCAAAACTGTCTGAGGAATTGTCATCTTCCTTCCCAAGGTGGACCTTTTTGTCAGCAGTTTTACTAGCATTAACTCTGGAATCTTTCTCATCATGATTTTCAAATAACCACTCAGCATCAAAATCCATCTCATGTTTAACTTTGTTTAATTCTTTCATGTTGAAGCCCAGCAACACACCAGGCTTGTACTTCTCACAGTCTCGGACACACTTCTTCCTCTTGTTACTGAAGTGGGAAGCAATGTCACTCTTCCACAACCATAAACTGGCTGCCAGCTTCTCAATCTCTCTCCTGGTGGGATAGGGCTGTTTGTTGAAATACTTTGTGAGGAAGCTTTTCCTGTCTTCATAGGAATCATCTTCATGACCCTTGGGGTCTAAAGCTAAAACAACAGGTTCCTCAGGCTTCTCCTCAAAGAAGCTGGGTGAATCACTATCATCATCTAACTTTCGCTTTTTCGTCAAGGGAAATTCGATTTGCTCGTAAGTGCGCTTCACAGGTGCCAGTCCTGGTGACTGATTAAGCCGAGAGGGTGCATTTGTCTTATCTTGGCCATTCTGGGTCTTCCCAACACCCCTGCAGTGAACTAAATGCAGAGTGATCGTTGAGGCAGTCATGTTGCTGGTATACACACCAAGGCAATGGATACATTTATAGGTAAGCTTTTTCTCCACTGGATGAACCGTCTGAATAACTTGGTGCCTCTCTCGTAAGTGATGTGCAAGTGCATCAGATATGGGTCCTTTTAGGATTGAAAAGCAAAGAGGGCAAAGGGTTTTCCCAATATCTTTTTTATAGGGTACTGCAGCTTGAGGTGAACTTCTAACAGGAGTATCTGCTTTCTCCGGAAGTTTTGGCTGTGGCTTTGGAGGGATCGGAGGGTTACTTTGGGCATGATAAGCAACAGATTCAGCTGGGGCATCCCTCAGGTTGTATGTGGTTACAAGGAGATGAATGTTAGTGTGACTACCCTGCTGCAATGTCAAATCAAAACTCAAGGTAGAATCTGTTTTAGGTCCCAACTCTTCATCAATGTGAACCATCCTCATGTGTGCTGCCATCTTTTCCACATCATTGAAAGTTGAACGGCAGAATGGACAAGACAGACCATGAATTAACATATGGTTGAGCAGGGTATCTGTGGGCAGATAGCGATTACAGTAGAGGCATTTGCTAGTAAAATTATGTATTTTCATAATGTAGTTGGCTACCGCTGGAACTTTCTCAGCCTTATGTTCTTTTTCGAAGTGCACACTATAGACATTTTCAGGGAAAAGCTCATTACAGATCGTACATATTTTCCATTTCTGGGTTGAGGAAGTATTGGCTACGGGTGGGCCTGCGGCAGCTGCAGTAGGTTTGGAACTGGACTGACCTAATACTCTGGATGCCTGGGACTGGGAGAGGGAAGGAGACTTTAACTGGCCTGTTGAGACAGAAGAGGCATTAGCAGACTGCAGGGAGTATCGTGCTGGTGCCTGGGACCTTTGCTCTGCCCCAAGCCCGAAAGATCTTCCATTTCCGCTTGGAAGTAACTGCTTCACAGACTGAGACTGCTGAGGGATGGAAACTGGTGCGTTGCCACCTAGACCCAGTCTCATTGACTGACCAACGCCATAGCCCTGGCCTACAGATTTGACTCCATAATTGTTCTGCTGTAGGTGGACATTGGACATCATGTTGACTCCTGTAGAATTTAAGTTAGGCTTTGGTATTGAGAGTCGATTCACCATCTGCTGTGAAGGCAAAGACCGGACGTTTCCAGAAGCAAGGGAACCAATTCTTGATTGGAGTCCCATGCCCTTCTTCTCTTGAGGTTTGGGAGCAATTAGCATCAGAGGCTTGGATCGGGGAACCACCACATTTGTGTGCCCAATCATGGCAGTGACCTGATAGCCTATGCGTTCATGGTCTTCGATGACATGCTGTACCAAAGCTTCATAGGACTTTGGTATGAAAAGGCATCGCTTGCAGTGAATACTACCCTCTTCCCAGGCATTTGGGCTTAAGGGGACAGCACCGTTGAGTGATTTTTCACCTGACTTTGCTATGTAAGGTGCTGCCACATGCTGAAAATGTTCCCTGTAAATGTGCTTCCTAACTACTTCATAAAGAGGATCTCGGTAAGTGCACTTCTTACAGTAATAAACAGCTTGCTCCACACTGTCAGCCTGCTTAGGTTTAAGGCCATCATTTTTGCTTTTATCTTTGAAAGTGCTGAGGCTGCTACTTGGTGTGCTGGCATTTGGAGCATGAAATATTTTAATGTGTGTTTCCAAAGTCTTTTTGTCTGCATTGAAGGTACAGTAGGGGCAATTAAGGAGAATCCTATTTTCAAAGTCTTCACTATGGACATTCCGAAAATGACTTTTGTAGGCAGAGAAGAATTTTGAAGAAAATGGACAAGCGCTGCAGCAAAAAGGTTTTGTCCGGTAGTCCTAAAGAAAAGACAAGACTGGAATCAGAATGCCACTTCAGATAGGCAAAAACAAATTTTAGGTTCTTGTTCTTAAAAGACATTATTTTTAGAGCTGAAACTCTAACAGGTATACCGGTTAATAATGCGGATTTTATAATCAAAGAAAACACGATAATATCAAGAGAAATATCAAAAGTGCTTTATTCAAAGTAATGTCCATCACTAGCTACACATTTCCCCCATCTTTCAGGTAATTTGAGGATACCGTCCCAATAGAACTTTTCTTGTTTTGAGGCAAACCATTCAGATACCCAATTTTCCATTTCTTTGTATGATCTGAAGTGCTGCTCAGAAAGTGCATGTGCCATCGATCAGAATAAGTGGTAATCTGAAGGAGCAAGGTCTGGTGAATAAGGTGGGTGTGTTAATACTTCCCAGGCAAGATCTTTTAAACATGTCTTTAACTGGTTTTGAAGTGTGTAAGGGTGCATCATCATGAAGCAAAATTACTTTGCCATATCTTCTGACCCATTCTGGTCGTTTTACAATCAAAGCATGGTTTAAATTGATTATTTGTTGTCAGTAACTATCAGTATTAATGATCTCACCTGGTTTTAGAAGCTCGTAATATACCACACCTTTCTGATCCCACCAAATGCAGAGCATTGTCTTCTTTCCAAAGCAATTTGACCTTGCATGATGGTTGATCCGGATCAAACCATGATTTTGTATGTTTGGGATTCTCAAAATAAATCCACTTTTCATCACCAGTCACAATTCTATGCAAAAAAGACTTTCATTTGTGCTGTTGAAGCAACATTTTACTGATAACTTTTCTGTTTTCCATTTGTCTTTCATTCAGTTGATGTGGTACCCATTTTCCTTCCTTTAAAATCTTTCCCATTGCTTGTAAACAATCAGAAATTGTTTGCTGAGAAACATTTAATCTTTCTGCAAGTTGTTTTTGAGTTTGACATGCATCTTCATCCAATAATGCTTGTAATTGTTGGTCTTCAAACTTTTTTGGTTGACCTGGACACTCTTTGTCTTTCACATAGAAATCATCACTTTTAAAGCCTTTAAACCAACGTTCACAAGTGTCTTGAGATGGAGCATGTTCACCGTAAGATTCCCGAAGGATACGATAACTTTCAGCAGCACTTTTCTTCAAAATAAAGTAATGAATTAAAACTTCCCACAAATGCTCTTTGGCACAAAATCTAACATTTTTAAGTGTAAAATTATCTATGATGTTAACATCTTCAGAAAATTTGACATATGAAGTTTGAAGCTTGTTGTCAATACAACAAAATAGCCTACATATCAAATTGCATATGTATCAACCCCCATCTATTAAAAAAATCCGCATTATTAACCAGTACACATGGTAAAGTATTAATTTTTTTCTTTTGCAAAAAAATTTATGAAACAAAGTCAAATGAGAAAGCTCTTCTAAACTAAATACTTTTGTTTCACACTGAAAATTAAAAAATAAAAAACTCTCAATTTTGAGTTCTTCCTCAATGCTTGGGTAAGACCAGAGTCACATTTGCTGATGGAATGGCTTGAAGATAAATGGTCTATAGTTAGAAATTACAAGAATAAACTGTGTAGTTACTTTCACTCTGTGAATTAGTAAGGCTCCAGTTTTACTACAGAATAAAATTCAAAGCCCAGAGTGTTGTAGTACAATTAAGCAATAACATATAAAGGCACACTTTTTATCCTTCCCATCATGGAAAAATTTTCATTAAAAAAGACACATCTTCAATAATCTCATTTTTTCCTGACTGAAGTCCAGTATAGTATTCAAATTTCACTGCTCATCAAAATACTGATCCGAAAGTAGGCTTTCTTCTACAAACCATGCTCTTTCTTCTTGAGCAGCCTCAAAAGAAGTAATGAATTGACAAGCTTCTTTGATTCAAATTAAGAAGTAAAATAAAAAATGTCCTACAAACTGGGGAGCCAATGATGTTATCAAAAGCCAGAAGCACTGGTATCAAAGAGCATCTTCCAGAATTATGCTCATTGACACCTGTGTAGAAATTTGGTCCTTTGATGAGGACAGGTGAAACACGAGTTGCTTAGAAGCCTACTTTAAGATACTGGTTTGAATCAAAATAAAACATTCCACTTTCCCTTAAGTCTCAACCCTTCTTTAGTGTTGGAATATGAGGCTTTGGGGATTCATAAAACTGAGTAATATGTCCCACTTGGAAGCTTTTGTATTCTAAGACTGTTGGTTAATAACTTTTCCTGGGGAATTAATAGTAAGAAAAAAACAGATAACTGTATCAAATTTCTGAGGAAGAGTTTAAAAGTACTAATTCTTTGCCAAGTATGTTCAAATACATGAACAGTTCAATAATCCAGAATTATAATTCCTACTGAAAGAGGTGACTGTAAAGCTACAACTGACAATTGATTTTTTCTGTAGAAAGGAAATACTATCTACTATCTCTCTCGGTGTCATAAATGTCACCAGTGGACTAAAGGATCCCAGGTTTGATTCCGCTCAGGGGCATGTGCCTGGGTTGCAGGCACATCCCCAATGGGAGGTATGCGGGAGGCAGCTGATGGATGTTTCTCTCTCATTGATGTTTCTAACTCTCTCTCCCCTTTCCTCTCTGTAAAAAAATCAATAAAATATATTAAAAACAAAAAACTTATGTTACACCTCTCTGTCACAGCTATCTTACAGAACCACCAAACCTTCCCCCATGTGCTAGCTTAGGTCCCCCCCATTGAGGTGGGGTGAGATCAACAAAAAGGAGTAAGAACACTTAAAAGGAAGAAAGAGTATGGTCTTCCCTCCTCTCTAGAAAAAAACAAGAACTGCAACAGAAAACGATGGATAACAGAGTTGAACAGAATACTGGAGGGAAAATTTTAGAAATAGTAGTAGTACTTTTGGGGGAGGGGAAAATGCTGATATACATACAATGGGCTTCAGAGCTTTAAGAAACAAAACTTCTAAATTTCACACTTGAAGTGTTAGTCCAGTGATAAAAAAGACACAATGTTTTTCTAGTTTTCCCTACTAAAGAAAATATAAAACAGTCATGCATCGCAATACCAACAGATATATGTTCTAAGAAATATATCATTAGAAGACTTAGTCATATATCTACATGGTATAGCCTACTATATACCTGGGCTAAATGGTATACAGCCTGTTACTCCTAGGCTACAAATCTGTATAACATGTTACTATAGTGAATATTACAGGCAATTGTAACACAGTGGTTAAACATTATGTATCTAAACATAGAATAGGTACAATAAAAATATAGCATGAAAGATAAAAAATGGTAAACCTGTATAGAAAGAGCACTTACCAAGAATGGAGCCTGCAAGATTGAAGGTGCTCTGGGTGAGTCAGTGAGTGAGTGAACATGAAGGCCTAGGACATACTGTACTTGACTATAAACTTTGTAAACACTGCACATGCAAATTACACTAAATTCATTAAAAAGTTTTTCGAAAAATTAACCTTAGCTTACTATAACTTTATAAACTTAAACATTTTAACTTATTGACTTTTTAAAATAACAGCTCAAAGCATAAACACATTGTATAGCTGTATAAAAATTATTTGTCTTTATATCCTTATTGTTTTTTCTATTTAATTTTTAAAAATACTTCATAAACTTTTTATTTGTTTGTTAAACACACAAACACATTAGTCTCGCCCTATCCAATGTCATCTACATCACTCTTTCACCTCCACATCTCATCCCATTGGAAGGTCTTCAGGGGCAGTAACGTGCATCTCTTCTCCTACAGTTTCCTTTTCTTCACCGATTTGTTCCTGTTCCACTCCTAATGAGTCCTCATTAGTAAATTCCTCAGGAATCACCTCTAGGAGCTACTCAACATCATCCTTATCATACACAGGTTAAAGTGGTTTGCCACTGTTCAGCCATAGCCTGATTGATTTTTGCAACATCTTCATCCTTGACAAATCCTTTGAAGGTATGGATGGACTTCTTGCGTGTCTTCTTCCAGATGCCTTTCATATATTCCTAAGTGACATCACCCTAAGCAGGGTTCTTATGCAGTCATAGATATTGTAATAATTCTAGAATTTCATCAGTATATTCTCAGTGTTTTTCTTTTGCAGCAATAGCCTGGGCAAAGGTCCTGGCTTTAAAAGCAGCTATAACTCCTTGATCCACTGGTTGAATCAAAAAGGTATTGTTTGGAGGGAGAAACACTTTGATGTTGGGGTGAAGATCACCAATAAAAGGAAGATGTCCTGCAGCATAATCAACAGTAAACAAAGTTCCTTGAAAGGTCTGTTATTCTTTAAATAGTATTTCTCCATTTTGCTGCTGTAGCCACTCAGGAGGGCATCTTGGAAGAGAAGCTGGGTCATCCATGACATCCTACTGCTCCTGTGTTATACTCTCAGTGTATGCTTATTGATATGGCTGAAGACCCTGAGGTTCTGTGTGCCAGATCACAAAGGTTCCAATTTGTAGCCTGCAACATTGCCCCCATGCAAGACTGCTATTCTGTCCTTAAAGCCTTTAAACTTGACATTGACTTGGCCGCCTTATGGACTGAAGACCTTTCAGACATCTGTTTCCAGAGTAGGGAGATTTCATCCATATAGAATTACTTACTCTGGCAAGTAATTTTCTTCTACAATCAGTTTATATAGTTTCCAAAAGTTCTTCTGCTGCCCTCACATCAGCAATGGCAGACTCACCACTCACTTTTTCACATTATGAATTGAATGATGATTTATTCCTGAATCCTTTACTCAGAGCTAGCAGTATACTCAACATCACAAACATTTTGCTTTGGCCATGATTGTCATGATGCTGACAACTATAAGCTTCTGTGTCTGGTCTTCAATCCAGGTCATTAGAAGTTTCTCCATATCTGATATAGGTCCTTCTTGAATTTTTGTTAATCTCGTTGCCTTCAATGAAGCAGATCCTATAAGAGCTTCTGTCACTTTGTTCTTATTCTTCAAGATTGTAGCTATGGTGGAATGGGACATGTCTGACTGCCTAGCAATAACCATCACTGGTTTTCCACCTTCACAGTCCTTAATCACTCTTAATTTCATTTCCAGGTTAATCACTGGATATGGCCTCTCACTGTCAACATCAGCAATGGATTCTGTATGTTCAGGGGTCATGATGAATAAAACAAGACTAAATCAAGCACAAGAGAAATGATGCAATCAAGAGCTGTGGTAAACAGATGTATGAATCTGCTTCTGGTGTAGCATACACAGCATACTGTTTTACAGCAAACTCTTGTGAGTAGAAAGAATATTCTCTCAAATAACAATAAATGAATAACACTGTAAATATATAAACCAGTTATCATTATTAAATATTTTGTACATACAGTTTTTTAAATCCTCGCCCAAGGATATGTTTTTATTGATTTTGAGAGGGTGGGTGGAGAGGGAAAGGGAAGAAGGAAGGAGAAAAGGGAGAGAGAGAGGGAGGGGAAGAGGGAGAGGAAAGAAAGCACAAAACATGGATTGGCTGCCTCCTACATGCATGCTGACCACGGCTTGAACTCCCAACATAGTTATGTGCCCTAACCAGAAATCAAATCTGCAACCTTTTGGTGTATGGAATGATGGTCCCACCAAGCCACTCGATCAGGACTATGCTATACTTTTATGACTGGCAGTGGTTTTTTTACACCAACATCACCAATAACACATGAGTAATGCATTACATTACTATCTTTCAACAGCTTCAACTTTACTAGGAGATAGGATTTTCAGCTTTATTATAATCTTATGGGAACATTTTTGTATATTCAGTCCATTGGCAAAAACATTATTACATGGCACACGACTGTAATCATTTTTGACATTCTCCACTATGAAAGGCTTAGGGCTGAAAAGGGAGTATACCTGTCCCACTTACCTGGTTTTTTGTAAGTGAAGGGTCCCATAGTCCTACATCCTCCCATGTAGTGTTTTTCAAATAAAAGTCATTAGGTTCAAACTGTTTAAAATCCTAGAAAACAGTGAAAGAAGTTTACAAAAACATAGTTGTATCAACTCTAGCCAAACCTTACTTATATATCCATTCTCTTAAATAGGGCTGGAGTGATGTACCAGAAAAATCAACCCCACTGAGAGCTAAACTAGGAGCCAGAAGACTCTTAGGAAACACAAAAAGGCACATGGAAGTTGATTGAACATTTTATATCAACCAAATGTTCCCCTAATGATCAGCCAGTTTCCAAGGAAAACACTGAAAGTTTTAATTAAAAAATTTAGCCACAGATTAAATGCCAAAGTAACGTTCATTAGAGTACTGAAACTCATCAATTGTAGTATTAGAATGGAGTGTAATGTTCACTTATAGCACTACAGATGATATTCTGGTTTTGTACAATAGATTGGGAAGAAAACTGAAGATTTCTGAACCCAAAAAGGAAGAAAGCTATCCAAAGAAAATAAAAAGTATTATGTTGAATTTATACTCATATAAAAATTGAATGGCCTGTATGTTCCCAGGCTAGGAAGATAGTCTTAGGGTATAATTTCCCTTGTTCCTAAAAGGTTCATAGTTCAGTGTGGGAAAACCAAATACATGTAAATTACAGGATATGTAATAGGTGTAATGATGGGGGGAAAAATCATGCAGGATAGAAAAGGAGCATTATTTGCATTATTTATTCTATGAAGATTATCTCACTGAGTGTGATGTGAATGGATATTTCATCAGGCAGATCTACCTGAATTTGAGGGGTTGGAGAGGTCATCCATGATGGGAATAACTTAACTAGAGAAGTTTCAGTCTACATAATCAATCCCTAGACTTTATTAGTGGAAACCAGGAAAAGAAAACCTGTTGAATAAAGGAAATTGCTTTTTACTCTCAATTCCATCCAAACATTTACTAAATACCTATTTTGTGCCCAGCACTGTACTAGGTGCCTGGGATATACAGATGGACAAGGTAGTTCTGATCCCTGACCAGTTGGGACTTAAAGACTAGTGGGAAACACAACTTTAAACATTGTCAGAGGCTTTGTTGACCAACTAAACATAAGACCCGGAGCAATGAGATCTGGAAAAGGAGAAACCAATACACTGGCTATTCCATGGGGCTATTATAATGCTCATAGAATAAAAGGCTAGAAAATCAGTTTGTAAAGTCCAAACTGTTATACAAGGGGAAGATAATGGTCTATGATGGGTCAAAAGGGCCAAAAATGCTCAAATCCTATGAAAGAGACAACAAGCACCCAAACCACTATGACTCAACAATCAGAAGGTCAACTAGAACATTCAGGTCTATTAGAATGGGAATAGGCTCTGGAGTCCCAAAGACAGATCCTGCCACATGCATAGCTGCGAGGTGGGCCTATTTCCTTACAGTTTTTTCCTCTGTAAATTGGAGATATGTCCCTCCAGGGGTTGTTTTAAGGACTTGAAATTTAGAGATAATTTTTAAAATGCCTAGTAAATTGCCTGAGATGTGTATGTCCTCCTCAATGGTAATTGCTTTTGCTTCAGGATGCAAAGATGAAAAAGCCCATTTTAGGAAGAAGGGAACAACTTAGGCTAATTGAGAAAGCTATGGTGAAGCTAACGGTGAGGTTCAAAATCAGAATCACACCTAAGAGTTCACCATCCTGGCCGCTGACACAAAGTAATGTATCCGAAGCTGAGTCATGTTAAAATTAAAAAATGGCATGCTACTTACTTCTATGTGTTCTTTACAGTATTCCAACCCAATGTCACTAAGTATTTTTTTCACAGTTTTCCGGGCTTTTCTTAAACTGCCAAGATTGTTGACAGGAAGTTGGAACATAGTTTCTATTGGGAAAAAAAATTTAAGTCAAGTCAAAACATGTACAACTTGTAATATTTACTAATTCCACTGATGGTAGGATCAAAAACCCTGGCCCAGTCTGACAAAATAAGATGAGTAGATATTCTAGTATGTCCTGAATACTTAAAAGAGACAAGCATAGATAAGTGGTCTCTGATCTTTTCTATTTTTAACAAGACATTTTATGTTATAGATTGACTATGAATCTAACCTGGCACAATTCTAATTAAACTTTTGGTGATGGACTTCTAAAGTTGAGAATTAGGTTATTAATATCTGATTATTTAAAAATCAAGTGTGAGTACTTTTCTCCTTGTGATGCCAAACCTCTGAAAATAGAAAATGCTCACCATTTCAGCATTATTACTGTATAATTTTGAGTGCCAGGGAAAATGAGCTTTTGCCGAATGGGAATTGTCTTAAACATTAATTACTATAGCATTCTAAAGTCATTAAAAAATGACTTTATGTTCTTAAAAAAAAAATGTTTTTATTGATTTTAGAGATAGAAGGGGGAGAGGGAGAGAGAAACATCAATCAGTTGGTTGCCTCCACCATGCATCCTGACCAGAGATTGAGCCTGCAACCTGGGCATGTGCCCTGACTGGGAATCGAACCAGTGACCTTTTGCTGCACAGGTTGATGCTCAACCAACTGAGCAACAATGGCCAGTGCTTGTTATAGTATTTTAAAAGAAACATTCTTAAAAGTTTCTACCACAAAAGACACTAATGACTGTGTAAATTGCCCCTCAGCCAGCACCATTCCTGAACAAGGCACTTACTTATGGTCATGAAATGAATGCTGAGATGGGGAAAGCTAGGCACAGCATCAGAGCAAATAATAGTAACTGTTATATGACTTTAGGGGAAACTTGAAAAATGGAAAGCCTGTATGTGTGGTAAGGGAAATGAAAAAGTTATTTAAATGATAAGACCTATCAAAGAAGAAAATTTTTATTCACTTTCCCCGGGTCCTTAAAAGCAATGGTTAAGAACATAAAGTTAGTAAAACTTGGGTGGATGAGAATGTGTATGGCTTCCAATGAGACTATAAATGTTTATTTAAAAAACGATAACTATCATCAACTTAATAACCTAAATCAATTTTACAGTATATAAAGTTGTTTAAAAAAAACCCCAAAAACAAAGGCATAAAACAAAACCAAAGAATTAAAACATAATACATGCAAACCTGCTTTTCTAATTAATAAAGGTTTATTATTCTATAATACCACTACCATTTGTAAACCACAATCATGAAGTCAACTAATCCAAATGTAATACCATGTTACCTCATTTATTATTCTAATGAAAAAAAAAATCAATTAACTATGAAAAATGGAAAAGAGAAAAAAGGGTGAACCATACCAAAACAAACAGTAATTCCTAGAAATTCTGAATCTGACTATATTTCCAGTATAAGTAACTTATGTCTCAATATCCTATATAACCCTATATAATAAAACCCTACTATACTAAGTGTCCGGGTCATCCAGTTGACCATTCAACCAATCAAAGCATACTATGCTATTGATATGCTAAGGCCACCCAACTGCTTGCTATGACATGCACTGACCAACAGAGGGCAGATGCTCCGACCAGGTTAGCTTGCTGATGGGGTCTGGCTGATCGGGACTGCGTAAGATGGGCTGGACACACCCTGTTAGCTGGACACTCCTGCGGTCCCTCCCCAGCCACAACTGTGCATCAGTGGGTCACAGCTGGCAAGCGCAGTGGCAGTGGTGGGAGCATCTCCAGCCTCTGCAGTAGCGCTAAGGATGTCTGACTGCAGGCTTAGGCCTACTTCCTGTGGGGAATGGGCCTAAGCCGGCAGTTTGGACATCCCCTGAGGATTCTTGGGACTGCGAGAGGGTGCAGAGACCCCCAGAAGTACATGAATTTTGTGCACCAGGCCTCTAGTATTCTATATGAAGAACCAAAGTTGAGCCAAAAGAGAACTGTATTTACTGAGAAAAACAACCTTCTCACCTTCAAGATGGACTCCTACCAGTTATAAAGTATGACTATGGTATTCTCTGCCATCCAATAACCTGAATAATATTTAGCTAAGAGCTGACTTGAAAGTCACTTCTGATACAATTTCATGTACATTCAAGGCCAGATCTATTACCTTATAGAAATGTAAATGCTAAAGAGACGTCTTGTTTCTCTTGTCATTTATAAACTCTCTGAGGGTAAAAAAACAGAACTACTTTTGGAAGAAGTTAATCTTGCTTCTCTTCAGAGCAGAGATGTGCCCAGAAGGCAGCCATTACTGGTTTCCTCTGCATCCTGGATTAGTAGCTCAACATCTCAGCAAAGCAAATATACAAAAATTTGGAAATGTTGCCACCAATCTATATAGAAAATATCCAGGGAGTCAAACTACAGCTCAGATTAAAGGAAAACTCCTTCTATGGAAAATACCAGGCATTCTAAGTGCCCACCCACAGCTGACAAAGTTGTTTTGAAGACATCCAAATGAAGCACTAAGTAGGTACCTATGTGGTAGGTACCCAATTTATACACTTATAGTTCTGAAAAAGTGAGTATGCTCATAAGGGATCTTCATTGTAAGGAGCATAATTTATAAAAAGTTGTATTTCTGCCATACGGTAAACCTCATTTATTCATTTAGGCTGAATAGGCTTATAAGCAAAATAATTCTGCTTATTGGAAAGTGCTATATAAAAATGGTTCATTGTTCTATGATTAGCAACTAGGAGAAACCTAGGTTAAATTTTATATACTGAAAGATGTAGAATATTCTGAGCTAAGATTATAACTTTCTTCATGACATTTCTAATCTTGGGAATTCCATTATCTGCCCCTTTTCCCAGATGGAGATGATCTCCATGTATGTGCTTACAGTGGCCATTTTTCCAATACTTTGTTCATCTGGAGCTGGAATAACACATTCATGTGTTAGAATCCTCAAAAGCATTTACAAAGATTCTGCTGTTAGGGGGGCCACTGTGTATACTTCTTGAGTTTTCCTGTGCCTATAACAAAACAAGCCAAAGGTTCTTTGAAAGAAAGCCTCCACCAAACTCCATCAGTTAATGTTAATTATTATGGGTGATGGGTAGAAGTCAACAAATTTTTTTCCCCCAGTCTCCTGCTTGCTGTAAAGAGAAAACTTCAAATCAATGGCTGGCTCTAGAATTCATTAATGTTATCTATTTGATTACTGTTTAAATACTTTTACAATTATCCTGGCCTCCTCTCCACCCCTCAAAAACCCTTTGAATTAGAAATTTGGAGAAGGTGCCCAAACCTTAAGTGATTGAAGGGTAGGAACAGAATAATTAGGAAATTCAGTGCCTGAACAGAAAGAGAGCTAAAAACAAAATATTTAATTATTAGTCTTAGGGAGGAAGATGTCTTACAGTAATGTTAGAAAAATATTGTGTAGAGATGGGCTTGCTTTCCCTCCTTTCTCTTGAGCTACCCTTGACTGTCAGGATGGCCATTTCCACAAGGTCAGCACCATTTTCCTAATACCAAGGAGAGATCCCTTCACCAAACCATAAACCTCTTAGATCATGGCATAAAAAAGGGAAAATATCCAATTTAAGAGAATGGTACCATTGTTCATCTGTTCACAGTAATTTTCAGAGCACCTTCACTTTGCCAGTCCATAAACTAGGAATAGAGATTAATATTGAAGGCAATTCCTATCCTTCAATAGCCCATCAATTCTAAGGGACAGATCTAGAGCACACAGTAGGCACAAGATCATTGGCGTAAAGAAGATACTTTGTTTTTGTGCCCAAGTTCCTCTTGGAACCATCCCTGCTGTAGATGCGCCCCTTTTTCCTTTAGCAGAGTGTATATGACAAGTCAGGCCAACCAGTTAGAGTAGTCTATTTCAGCAGACCATGACAGTATAGAGTTGGGCATGTGCCTCAAAAGGGCTCACTGTAAAGCTGAAAAGCAGTCAGGACCTGCCATTACACGGAGAAAGTAAAGGGTGAGAGACATTCCTGATGAGATTGCTCAACGTCCTCAATCCACCTGTACCTGAAAGCCAGTCCCACTATCCCCTGACTTTACAGCAATAACAGCAAACACGTTATCATTTTTGCTTAAGGTTTGATTTATGTCAATTTTAAACATAAGTCTTCGTAGTCCTGTAGTGGGACATAGAAGAGGAAAGATGGGGAATTTTGTGCAAAATAATTATACTTGTAATTGGGTCTATCGGCAGAATAGGAGTTTACCAGAAAGTTGTAGAAAAACAACTTTTAGGGGTAGAAAAACAAACAAATAATAATTTAAAAAAAAAAAGGCATTTATAACTGTGTCATTAGAAAGTGAGACAAAACCAAAAACAACACCCCCCCCCCATAAAACCCAACCTTAAACCTTTGACCAGGCACAGATAAATAAAGCCAGGAAGGGGGGGAGAAGCCTCCAAATTAAACCTCTCCAAGTTATTTTAAGCTATTATAAGTGTGGATCTAGCATGGCATTTTCCAGTACATAATTCTGCATATTTTATAATCATTCTTATATGATGTTCCCGTTACTAATAAGAATACATGTTTTAACATACCAGAATATACAGAAGCAAATATGATCATGTGTCCTAGTTCCTATCACCTGCTGGAATAACTCTGCTACTTACTAATACAGGGGTGGGCAAAAGTACATTTACAGTTGTTATACAAATAAATATAATAATAAATAATACAACCCTTTGCCCTACCCTGTATTCAGGAACTGCAATCTGAACATATACCACAGTCACAACTAATGCATATTATTGTAGCAAAAGCAACACAATAATTTTCATAAGGAAAGCATTTCTAACATTGCATTGAGAGTCAGACAAGGATGGTTACATGTAAGAATGTTTATCCTTCTTCAGGGTAACACCTAAACATAAGCTGCTTAGTCTAAACCAGTTGTTTTAACCCCACCCCACCTTCCAAACCCTTGTTTCTAAAATCTTAGATGAATATTTAAATAAATAAATA